GAAGAGCGTATTTTTGTCGCCAGGGTGCAATTACCATCAGTTTTCAGACTGCCGAGCACCAGGATCGCCTGCACCGACAGCTGAACTCAAGCAAAGCGTCGCTGCCAGGAACGTAAGAGAGAGCGAGGGGAACGCGAGGGATGAGGTGCTGCCCAGTGCTCTTTTGCAACAGGAGGCACGCAGCTCCTTTGCGCGGGCTGGAAAAGAAAATAAAAACCAAACCCAAGTGCCAGAGGGTAACGCGCATTTGGTTATTGCTGACCTGAGCTGCACGGTGACTTAGTGGTTATAACTGTCAGCCTCAACTGGGACTTCAACAACAGGAATGTGTGTGAGAGAGACATCTTGAGCTTTGTGTTTACCTGAGGTATTGCTGTTCTTACAAGACACATGGGAGGTAAAGGGCGGGGGGAGGGGGGGGGGGGGGTGGGAGAGAAGGGAAAAAAAAAAAAAAAAAAAGAAAGAGTAGGCTTTTAGGTGTTCGTGGTGTGTTTTTGGGTTTGTTTTTTTTTTTGACAGGAGACATTTTTGAATACGTAATTTATACTAAAAATAATATAGAAAGATAGCTGGTGGACTTCCAGCATGCTGTACTTTTCAAAGTATATACTTAATCAATATTTTTTTAGAAAAATGCTATAAATTATTCACTAATTCACCATTTGGCCGGGGTGGGGGGGGAGGTTAGGAGGGGAGGGGAAAGGAAGGAGAAATCAAGACATAAAGGATTAGCAGTATTAGAGGCTTACAAATATCTGTAAAAGGTAAAACTGTCCCTAGCCTGAAATGCATATAACCATCCCAAGTTCTTCATACTCAGGGAAAGCAAGCTACACAAAATTTCTGTCCATTCCAAGAGGATACACAGACAATAGCTACTCTCAGATTAAGGGTCTGCCTAATACTCCTTTTCTCACAAAAAGGAGCCGCAACGACTATTCCAGCCCAGAGAATGCATCCCAAACAGTATGCAGTGAAGTCCCACAGTCTGCTTCAGAAGTAAGATTTGAGGTCAAGACAGATTCTGCCCTCCTCACCCATCCGACCACCTGTATAAAGTCATTTATTCCAGATCTGCGCAGAGAGGAAAGAGGAGGATGAATTTCACATCCAAAAGGTCTCTGCATAACAAAGAGCAAATAAACTAAATGGCATCTTAAAATGGGTGATATTTTTCCTTCTTTGTTAAGAATAATTAATATAAAAAAATAATTCATATATAAAATTCTGCAGAATTAAAATCTTCACTGAAATCTGAAACCTCTCAAGCAAGCGCACAGAGAAATGCAACACAGCCACCGTGAAAGGTTTTGCAGTTCAGCGGTACTTCAGGGGAGGTATGTACGACCTGGCTGCAACACAGAAAGGCAGACAATGCGACCTGGAATTTGCTTTCTGTTATACCAGCACAATTTAAAATCTGGATTTACATAACTATGACCAAGAAGAAAATCTGACCCAGCAGCCTAATCACCGCATTAGAATAATACAGTTAAACTATTAATAGATTTTTACACTGTTATTTCACCTAAACAACACCGACAACCACCACGCGGCTACAAGGTGAAGATCTGAACTTGCACAAAGTTATGTACCTAAAACTCCTTATGCAGCAAAGGCTGGGCATTTTCGGCTTTATTCACCAGCCACTGGTTATAGTCTCTATCTGCTGTATGGCACAGACCTCTGTATTGGTTAAAGCTACTCGCCCGTCTCGGTGGCTAGAGGTAAATGTATTCAAAACAGTGACTGAGCGTCTGCTAAGAGAAAAGGAAAAAGAGGAAGCAAAATGAATCCGTGGAAGAGAATGAATTTTACAAACCTGCCTCTTAGCATGTTATTTCAGTTACCCTATGAAAAATAAACAAAATCAAGTCAGCATAAACAAGTTTCCTGGGCTTTTTCCATTTTCTTCTAAAACCTGCTTGTGACATCATAATTAGTGCAATGGTTTACATATGTATTATGGTTTTTTTATGAACCCAGTGTGCAAACTAACAGAGGCGTTTGTCTAGTAAGTATGAGTTTTAATTAATGCTTCTCCTAAGAGAATGGCAAAACTCTCACATTTACTATTGACCTTATGCATAATGAAGAGAGTTTCACCTCCCTTCATAAGTAAACTTCAGTTTCCTAACATTTATCTTTACTGCATAGATTCTCTGACTTTTGTCTCAATTACAGTGAGCCACTCTCCTCTATTAGAGCTCTTGCTTCACCAATATTCAACATATAAATAAAATACAATTGTTTTGTGCTTGAATGAACATAGAATGTTGGTCTCGTGTGCGTCTCTGAACTGCACAGGTAAAACCTGCTGTGTTGTGTGCACGCTTAAAAAGCCTTTCTACAAATCACAAGCTATACAATATACACTGTATGTATCTCCGAACTCTCACAGCAAAGTCAATTGCATATTTTTGCATATGAATTGTAATGTCCCCACGATACGGTTTTAATTTCTAAATCCAAAGCATTCTTGATATGTTAACAGAAGTATAATGAGCACTCCTTAGTAAATAAAAATAAATAATAGCATCTAGTCTATCACATTAATACTGTGAAACATATATAAAATTTACATTAACTCAAACAGTGAAAAAGGATTGTACTGTATTTATCACCACAGACCCGTATTCTTTAGAGACTTTGGAAAGTAAGTGTCACAGTCCTGTATGACAAATTCTAAAGTTAGCTGTCAGTATGATTTAAAAAAAATTCTTTACAAATTTTTTTTTTTTTTTAAATGGCACATTTTCTTTTGCCAATCTAACTGGACCTATTAAAAGCTTAGGTACAAGTTCATTCTTTTTTTAAAATTCTTCTTTAGTCTATGAAAAACATTTTCAAATGCAGCACAATAAAAAACATTCAAGAACAAGCTTCAGAAAATACATTTGCCCTTAGACACACAGAGAATAATCTTTATAAGACAGTTGAAAACCAGGTTTTTGTCACTCTCTTTTGAAAATAAAAATTTTGTAAATGCATCTAGAATAATCAAGGCTTCATAAAGAGTCAAAAAATGCTTTGCTTTCCTTTGTATTAAAAGCCTATTCACAGCATTTTAGCCCATCAAACTTTAGTATGAATTAGATCTTTCCAAATTATTAAAAGCAATTCAATGAATAGCAAACTGAATGAGGAGTTTTGTGGGTTGGGTGGTTGTTTTGTTTTTTTTTTTTCCCTAAGCCCTGAGATCACAGCTCTTGATTTAATTATAAAATATGGGTCTGTTTTATACCAAGCAGCTTAGAGATTTTTGGCAAACCACATTTCCAACAATAGTGGGGTTTGGTACAAGAATGCAGTTCGTAATCAAGTCTGAAATTCTGGACGGAAGGCTTTCTTGCAAATGGGAAAAAAAAAATTAAGATGCATCACTCATTGCTGGCTGTCACTGTAGCTTGGGCAACTGTTGGTCTAAGTGCAGCTGGTCTCATGTGAATCCAACTCTGTATTGTACTGAGTCGCTAAACATTAAAACATGTCAAGCAAAGTACATAGTGCGCAACGTGTCCTGATGAACTTGAACTGCTTTAGCAAGTGCTTGATGATCTCTGCCATTACTCTGACCAGAAGTGTGGCTTCCTTCAGCACTGAAAGAGAAGGGAGGTGGGGGGGTGGAGGGGAGAGAAACCCTATTTAATCTGCCTCTCCTTGCAATACAATGTTTTTGTATCATTCATTTCTTCTGAACAGAACAGTCAAAAGTGAATTACCCTTAAAATACCACTGAAGTTCTGAAACAGAAAAAAAACACAGAAGTATACAGCAACATCTACTTTTTTCCCCGATAAAATTCAGTGGTAAGACCAAATTTACCCTCAAACTGCTGAGGATACTACTGACCCCAGAATTAACAAGCCCACTTCCTTCCTGCTTCCGTTCAAATTCTGTAATAATCCAAAACTATACAACTCACCTATCGTGTTCTTTATCCACCAGATGATACCTGGCTCTGAAGGCAACCAGGTGCGCGTAATATGCTGGTGCAGGGATGGAAACAGAACGAGTACAGCGTACGTACGTATGACACAGCTGGTAGGTAAGAATCTGCAGTTCATCTGAAGAGAAACGATTGTCATCCCAGAGGACATGGTAATGAGAAGGTCTGCTTGTTCCCTGAAGAGAGACCACGCAGGAGGTCAGCATTTCAAAAACACTTCTTTAAACATCCACCTCTGCAGGTGAGCTGCAGCATAACCGGCCGCTTCCTCAAAAATCACGCGTGAGCAATTCTACATACTTCAGCAAATTTTTCCTTTAGAAAGGCAAACCTCCCTCCTTGCTCCCCATATAACTAATCCCTTTGCATTTTTGGATAGGATTGCATTTTCTAGAGTTTCATCCCTGTTACTGAAATTCAATGATCTTACTGAAATGCACTTTCATCTTGTGAAACTTCAATCTGACAAAAAGCCATCATATAAAGTAGCTTTAGGCAAAACATTAACAGCTAACAGCAACCGAAATTGTGCCCCTACTGAATACACTTTTTTTAGACAATATCAAATGTTGACTTTCAGTACTGTTGTCGATTAATACTTTCTGACTGGGAAGAAGAAATCACAAGAAAATGTGAAACTACAGTGGTGCTATCTAAATGTATTTGTTGTTTCCTAGGAACTGGATGCACATTTCAAGAGAATTTATGCAAGAGGCAGCTCTGTAAAATAGTCCAAGTACCTTGCCACCATTCAAAGCAGCACACATTCAGGGGAGAAGGACAGTAAACTAAATGCACAGGGTGTGCTGCATATCTACTTTTCTTTCAGATTTTAACAATGACAGACGATCACTGCGGATGGCACAGATGAAAAGCCAAAATACACAGATGGAAGCTGTACCATTTGTCTCCTGCGTAAAGAACGCAGGAAATACCAGCAGCCAGTGTTATCTTTGAAAGTTACCATTGCACACAAAATGCTGTACCTGAATACCAGCATGACTACACAGGTAAAAGTCAAACTCTGATGGATGGGTGATTTTTGTGTCCACTGTGGTACCCGCTGGAATGTTTCCACTTTTTCCAACCTGTGTGAACAGAAAATGCAAACATAGTAAGGCATGCAGAAAGGGTTTTTCTCTTCAGCTGTATAGTATGGAAAAAAACACAAGAGAAAAGATCTATAAAAAGCAAAAAGTCAAGAAAGAATGAGAAAAACCGAAAATTTGTTCAACTGAAAGTCTGGAGTGTCTCTACTACGGAGGAAAAAAAAGACGAGCTGCAAAATCTTCTTAGAAGTTACCTACAAAGATTAGCTTTTCTGATTAACATAAAAAAAATTTCCTGCAACTGATTTGTCAAACTCTTTTTCACCTTCCCATTCCAGGACAGGTTATTCCTCTGTAACTTTTCTTGTTTATACCTGAAAGAGGACAATCCATAGTTGTAAGACAGGCCTCTTCTTCCCTCAAAAACACTTTACTTCAAAGCAGAACTTAAAAATACTCTTTACTTTAAAACAAATTAACGACTGTAATCACAGCATGTTATCAGTATAAAAACCACCTTCATGTGGGCATTAACAGTTACTAATTATTGCCTTGAAGCCTAGTGGGCTTCAAATGCTCACACAGAGAAGCCTGACAGAAGGAAAAAGAACATGAAGAACTCTATTTGTGAACAGAGGTTTGCCATTAGGAACTCTCCATTTACAGCAATGACTCCATCCTAAGACTTCGGGAGTCCCCTCTCCAACCAGAAAGGAGGAATCAAATATTTCTACATGTACTTCACACAGATGCAGTAACAGCTACGAAACACTCATAAAACAATCTGAAATGTTCGGTATAATGTATTGTGACACTTGATATGCCCAAGCCAAACTCCACATGTTTAAGACATTAGACACCTAAGATACCTTAAAGGTAGCATTAATGGAGAAGACAGTATTCTTGAAGTGTAGGTTTCACCCTACCTAACAATTTCAGTGTCTACTGTGCAGGTGTCTACATCTCAGCTGGTAACCCAAGAGCCACTCTGTAGTCAATGGCAACCAAACCAGTGAACTCACTAGTGCTAGAATCAGATGAAATGTGTCTTACAGTGCATTGGGAATACTAAACAGATCTCCATTTACAACACAGCGCTTGAGGTAACTGTTCCAGATGTAGACATCTACCTTATAAACCCTCCACTACTCAGATCAGTCTTGACCCTTGAGGATCTTGACACAGTGAAAAAACCTGAAAAAAAACCTGAAAACTTTGATGAACTTAAAAAAGGATGAACAGACTTGTTGAAAGTCTGCTGACATTGCAAAAAAGCTTCTTGCCAGTTTATTATATTGGAAAGAAAATAAAGGTTTTCCTTTCCAGGCAGGAAGATCTCACCCACTATGTTACGTATGCCTTCAAGCAAGTCTCTTGCTGCTTAAATAAGCAATAAGTAGTAGGTAACTTGGCCGCGTGCTAAATACTTGCCGGTCACAATTAGAACATACCCGTTCTTTTTGATCTGTACAGAAGAGTCTGGTGTGATGCCTTTTCTGCACAACTATAAATGTAATTCCAGGCTGGTAATCCTTTTCTAGTTTAATGCATGCTTCTCTGATAGCCAGCAATTCATGATGGAGAACCTGAATCATAAACGTAAACATGTATCATAAATAGGAAAGATAGCTATCTTACAAATTACTCTTATTTATCTACAGATTACTCTTATTTATCATGTCCCTTCTTGCACTGTCACTCAGAGTAATGAGATGTCAAAGCACGCAGGATCAAACGTTGAGTTCTTCACTTAATGAGAACAAATTAGATCACCAGTTTCCTGAGCCAGGCAAGAGCCGGTTCCGTATTTGTTCAGCACCAAGCATGGGGCTTGGACTAATAAGCTGTTTGTCAAAATCTTTTTAACTGCCAAATACAAATGAACATTTAATTAGGCTGTTGAGTATACAGCAGCCTAATAGAAGGGATAATATCCAGAATTGCTCAACTGCATGATCTTTCCCAGCTTTGTGAACTCTCGTGCAGTACTACAGGCATCAATGAAAACTGAGAGAGGGAAGTGCAATAAAACAAAAAGCAAGGATTTGGGTTAATTATAAATTAAAAATTCAGTGAAAAACAGTGATAAATGGGAAAAAAACCTATCAAAAGTTCATACAAAGATAATTGTAGTAATTCAAGTTTACTAAGTGACCTTTACTCCCTTCCTCTTGGATTTTGAGAAGTTGACTAAATTCTGTATCTTAATTTACATATAAAAATACTTGTCCTGGTTTTGGCTGGGATGGAGTTAAATTTTCTTCCTAGTAGCAGGCATAGTGCTGTGTTTTGGATTTAGGATGAGAAGAATGTTGATAACACGCTGATGTTTTAGTTGTTGCTAAGTACTGCTTGTGCTAGTCAAGGACTTTTCAGCTTCCCATGCCCTGCCAGGCGCACAAGAAACTGGGAGGGGGCACAGCCAGAATAGTTGATCCAAACTGACCAAAGGGCTATTCCATACCATATGGCGTCATGGGCAGTATAGAAACTGGGGGGGGTTGGCCGGGGAGCAGCGATTGCTGCTCGGGGACTGGCTGGGTATCGGTCAGCGGGTGGTGAGCAATTGCATTGTGCATCACTTGCTTTGTATATTATTATTGCTGTTATTATTATATTGTTATTATTACTATTTTACTTTGTTTCATTTAAATTATTAATCTGTCCTTATCTCAACCCAGGAGTGTTTCTCACTCTTACTCCTCCGATTCTCTCCCCCATCCCACCGGGGTAGGGGGAGTGAGTGAGCGGCTGCGTGGTGCTGAGCTGCTGGCTTGGGCTAAACCACAACAATACTGGACAGGAAAGCGTATGAAAATATCTTTAAAATATATAGAAAAATATTTCATAAAATATGGTACTTGTAAGCAAACAAAATAAATACAAGAAAGTATTTGTTGAATTTTATCAGGAATGAATTCAAAGTGACAGTGTGAAAATACAGCATTTATTAATCCTGGTTAAAAAAGTAGGAAAATTAGCTTACACTTCGTTTTTCTTTACTGTCCAAGTTCTATGGGATACAGTTTGACTAATACATCTTGAACAGGCCACAGATGTTGAACATAACTTGAGTGCTAAAACCATACTTTATCATTTATAATTTTGCAAAGGAAAGTATTTTGAAGGGGAAAAATATTTTGAAAAAAGCTCACAAAAAATATGAAAACACTTTCCCTGCTCTGCTTGGTTAGAATCCAACAAACTTGTTGAGGGAAGATTTTGTTGAGGGTATACTTCTTTTCAACTCCAACTACATAAAACTACATTACTACCAGAAAACTACATAATCAAAATTGCAAAGAAAAAAAAAGAATATATATATATATATAACCTGTTGAAACTGCCCCTCAGAAACGCCATCTCTGTAGAAGATTATGCGAGTTGGTTTAAATCTGGTTGATTTGTAGAACTGAATAAGCAACTCCCTGACCATGGCAGCCAAATCTTGAATGATTTCTTGGCGGTGCTGCTGGACCCGAACAGTGGCACAGTATCGATTAGGATGAGCATCCATGCTTCCTACAACCTGTTGAAAAAATGCTTAGTATCAAACCAAACTTAACAGCACTTCAATAAAAGTATTTCATGAAGATAACTGCACTGTCTTAACAGTATTTTGTTAAATAGGGGGTTGACCTAGCAAAGATGTAGTCAAAGTCACGATGTGCTTCAAGAGAGCTTTGAGTTTAGTCTACCTGTGGTAACATACCCCGCTGAAACGGAAAACTTATTTATTTCCAGTTTGCACCTACATACAGTTAAAAACCCAAATACAATTTGGAGCACTGATACCATGAAACCATTGATTTAGGTAGGACTGCAGCATAGGAATTTGAACTCCTGAAGACCAAGGGCTTTTCTGGGACACTGTGGATAAATCCATAAAACTGAAATGGTGAGGCACCACAGAAATATCCACACCAGACACCCCTCGCCAAGGGAAGGGAATTTTCTGTTTATGAAACATCAAAATTCATGTATTGTAAAAGTGGCATGGCACTTCAAAATAAACAGACAAACAAACAAAAAAAAAAATCCAAATTCCATATGTCAAAACTCACAACTAAGCACACCTCCACCTGGTTTTTCCTGGACACACACGTGTAACTTTTTAAAACAGGTATTTGTTATTTAGCACCACAGGCTAAGATACTATACATACTGTCACCAAAGAGCTTCATTATTAAATAAGCCAGAGCAGCCACTACAGGTGTTTGACATAAAGCAAGTCAAAGGCCCTTCCCTGTATTTAAGGAGTACATTCCCAAGGGATTACTGCACATTTTGTGTTGTGTTGAATCCCCAAAACCCGCAACTGAGCCAGCCTAGTTCCCTGTCAGTAATGGATAAATTCTGAACATTTTTAACTGCTGAAAACGCAGATTTAAACATGCACCAGCTTATTACAGGTTGCTGATAAATATCAGCTAATAGAAAAGCTCCTCTGTGTATTAGCAGCTCAGGCATTTTCCAAGCTAACACACACATTTAAGTAACCAGTATGAGAGCAAGCTCTCCAAAGTTTTGTTAGATTCCTGCAGAAAAATAATTTATAACGCTATAATTAGGCAATCAGAAGAAATGGACCACAAAAGAGTTGAAAGTAATAAAATGCATCAGACCCGAGCAGAGGAGAGAGCAGGGGTTAAAGATCATTACACAATTTACTCACTGCAGCAATGGAAGGCTTTTTTCCATCTCCAGCTGGCGGGTGAGTTACGTCTGCCCCAAGGAATATGACAGGCTGTTGAAATACTGGTGGTCTGATAAAGAGAAAGCAAATCTGTAAAAGCAGCAAGGCTTACGCTTAATAAAGCACATTATAACCCAAGTAACAGTACTCTATGCTCTTGCAGCGAATTAGTCAACAATTTGCACTTGATCAGAGTTGGTCACTTGTACTGTAACAGTAATTAGAAGTCTGATAACGTTCTCGTATTAAATACTCAGGCATATTTTTAAAGCATAGCTAATTGTTACTTTTCATTAAAGTGTGATATTTTTTTTTTTTAACTTGGAGAACTGCAGCCTTTATTAATTAGACCAGAGAAAAGAATAAAAGTTGATTCCTTAGCATCAAATAGCATCTGAGAAAATTAAAGGACTGTGCACATATACAGATGCTATGGTTTTGTTTCTGAACAAAAAAAGCCAGCGTTGATAAGGAAGTACAAAAATTGTGGATATCATAGGTATTATTTTAAAAGTAGATTTTTTTTTTTTTTTTTTAACTACACCTCAAATGTTTTAAACAAACCGTTAAGTTAAGATATTAATCCACCTCATCAAGAGTAGAACACCAAAACACTACACTGGAAGTTTTAAGCTTTAATTCTATTCCTTAATAAAACATTTTAAACAGGAAATCTTAGGCCACCAGAATTTCTTCTTGTCTGTATGTGGGGGTGTGGGGGAACAGTGATGTGGACAGATTCTGTTGTTTTCAGACCTTCTCTAAAAAGGAATTTGAAGGTAATGAAAACAATGTAGCTTACGATGCAATTACACAAATAAGAAGCTGCTCTTATTCCCATTCCCTCAACCAACAGAAAATAATAATTAAAGAGTTCTGCTTTAAAGACCCAAACCCTGCACTTTTCCAGAATGCCTAGGTGTTGTGTGTAGTTGTGCCATTTTTTTTTTTCCCCTTTCCCTTAACTCAATTTTCATGAATGCACAGTTTATTGGTATGAGAAGAATTCAACTTTCTGGCCACATTATTGTTGTCAACACATGCTACTTAACAGAGACCTTATGTTTATGGATCCAGCATAAAACTACTTATATGGGCTGTATGTTTCTGTTTTGTTTCCACAGCAGTATCTTTAACTCCTTTTTGAAAAAACAAAACCAAAAAACAACAAAAAAACCACTGTGCCTTTTTGAAATGCATATTCTGTAATGCGATTATTTTTAGTTGCTTTAATAGGAGTCTCCAACAAGCCCATTACCCAGGCTAAGTATATTTAGTTCAATAAACAGAATTTAACAAGATACACAAAATATATATCCCTTCTGATAATGTGGGGTTTTTTTCCCCTCCCTAAGCACTTGCTGGATTATTTTTCAGCAGCTGCCTTCTGACTAGCCTAAATACGCTGAAGTGAAAACTTGCTTATCTGCGCAAACCAGGATGTTGACTTCTTTGAAACACGCTCCCAAGAATGATGTTAGCAAGTTATTCCTTGAGCTCTCTCTACAACTTGAAATGCAATGATTGTAAAAATGCCATCTTCTGACTGACGTAGAAACCTAATTGTTCATTTTGAGTAAAGTAACTTTATATATCTTTATGCTAGCCTTCTCTATCCTGCACAGATAAGACAAAACAAGCTGTATTTTATTCATCCTGCCATTAGAATTTCTTGTTGCTGATTTTTCAATAAAACTGATGAAAAGCTTCAATTTAAGAACATTTGCTTTAAGATGATACACAAACTAAATATAGCCTTTAACAGCAGGGTCCGTCCTTTTTTACAAATAAGACAATATTTATTTCACTCCCACTCAACTATACGCAGGACTTCAGTGACATGTCAGATATGGAATTCAAGAGTATCCAAGCAACTTCACAGAATAGAGTTCACAGTATAACTGAAACTTGTCAATGTAATACTAATAAGAAACTGCAAGGTAAACTGGACCTGGAAATGAGTTAAGACTTTCCTGTTCCCAGCCTTTTTGTTTTTTTTTAAATGTCTATGTAAGTTAAGACATACAACAAAATGAAGAATCTTGACCACAATTAAACTATAAAGGAAAAGGCACTACTATTCAAGATGCTCTCTATTTGTTTCTGAAAACTCAAGGCAAATAAAATATTATAAATTTTTCATTCAAATGAAAATTGTCAGATTCAATGGTCAGATTGCAGTAACAATATTTATATTACAAATTTCAACTGGAACAAGTATTCCTCTCTAGCCTTCGTAAGCTAACTTTTGCAGGACTGTTTATTAGAAGCCAAAAGATAGCTCCTCTGAAGAGTCACAAACTATAGTGCTATGACCACAGATAAAAGCACCCAGTGATCTTAACATGATGCATGTTCTCTTTTCAGTACAATACCCTCTTCCTCTTTGAAAGATGGCCTACCTTCCCTGTGGCAGTAAAATATTATTTACGCCTCCTAATTTGACATTTATTTTTAAGCAAAGGTTAGACAGAGTTTGCGGTGTTGTTCTTTGCACATTTTTCATCTGAACGCACTGCGTAGCCATTCCCAACACAGTGTCGCCGACACGCTTTACCTCCGCTGCAAAACAAAGAAAAAACAAAAAAAAATTGCATATTGCAAATCAAATAACGTAGGAGACATTAATTCAGTGACAGTTAACTACACCTAGAGTTTTAGCAAAGTGAGCGTTAAACTTAAAGAAACACGAAGAAACTCAACCCCCAAACCCAACCCCAACCTCCGATAAATCTTCTCCCAGTTCTGTGCTGCTCCACTTGCCGACAGCGTGGTAACCGGGTCCTGAACATAAAATAAGCCCACAGTGCCTTTCATTAACTAAGAACTTTCTAAAATTACATTAATTGCAATTTTAGAATTATAGTGTTTTATCATCAGCATGGAAGAACCTTTGGCTAATGAAGTAGGAAATGTGGATAAGATTAGGATGATGAGCACTTGTTTCATTTATTAAACACTGGACTACTAACACAGACTTAATAGTAACGCGCTGAGCAATATTCAGCCAATCAGTTCATACTGCAAGTTTATCATTTGCATAAAAAGTGGCCAGTTTAGCAAGGGGTGGCCCATAAAAACTCCAAAAGAAACTCGTTAAGAACTGTACTATTCAAAAGGTTAAATCAAATCCTATTGTTAACAACAAAATTGAGACTTAAAGGCTGTAAGAGCGCCATACTCTTACACTCAGGAGAAGAAGAAATTTAGACTCCAAGACATGCTCAGAGAAGATGCAACCTCCCTTTGGCAACAGGAGAGGGAAAGAGGCTTTTTGAGGAGCCGGGTGAGAAGAGGAGAAAAGACAAGACTGTGGGTATAGGAAGTGCAAGAGTATGGAATAGCACAGGGAGAAAACAAAGAGAGATGATTAGAGGGGGCAGAAAGAACTATAATTAAAGATAACGACAAGGAAAGCAGATGAGAGTGGTACCACATCCTCTCAGTGGTTGAGTAAAGAGTCGCCCTGAATGCCAAGCAGGAAAAGTGCAAGTGTCGTTTTGCACTGAGTTTCTACTGAACAAATTAGAGACAAGCCACTTCCTTTGCAAGGCTGAATTCAAGGGGAAAAAAGGTACTATTTCGTTAAGGTTCCTTTTTAATCTCTCTTTTTATCTTACATGACATAATCTGGGGAAAAGAAAGTTAGAAAATTATTTTCTGCTATATTAAACTGCTGAGAGTGAGGGATGGAATTAAAAAAATCTGCAGCTGCTTGGTAGATCTGAGCCATTAGAGAATGTCCATGAAGCTGTGGGAGAAAAATAGTGGATGGTGCTGCAATTAGGCAAGGTAAGTGAAAAAATGAGCAGTCTTGCCTATAGGAAGAGCTAGTTAAAACCAAAACGCACGGTTTATCTCAAACATATTAAAACCTATGTATATATGGCTATGTAAAATGCACTAATTGTCTATCTGTTCCCAAAAAAACAATTTAAGTTGCTGAGTTTTCACCTTCCATGCATCTTTGTCCTCACAGCCCAAGAGTTAAAAAAACTGAGAGAAGGCAGCGGGGGGGGAGGAAATCCACTGGCAGAAATCTTCTCCTTCACTCAACCTTTTTTGCCAAAGGGTGATGGCGTGAGTAAGCAAAGATGTTCTAAAAGCTACATGGCTCTCGAGGTCATTACTTCTTCAATCACTTGGAATTTTTAGCATAGAAATTATAGTAAGTATATTTTAATCCACTGTGTATCAATTCCATCAATTTCACAAAAGCCCTGGTTTAGCTTTTTCACTCACAAACTGCATCTCAAGTGCAACCAACAGGAAGAATGTGGAAAAGCAAATTAAAAGCACAGACAAAAATAATGAAAAGAATTACGGTCTTAACATAAAACATCAAGCAGCAAAAGAAGGAAAATAAAATTAATTTATAGCCCATTCCCTTAATGGGATTTATATAGTTAAACCAGAATTAAACTTCTCTCATTCATATACTTCACAAAAAATACATGAAATTGTGACTGAAACACACACGCTCATGATTTGGACTTACTGACCATAGACCGGCGTTTTTCCTGGCAAAATTACTACAACAAGCTGCAGCCCAGTATAAGTGTTCTTGAGATGTCTGAACATGGGCTCCACGCTGTCAGCTCCCTGCGCGTATTTACAGAAGAATGGCTGCCCCCGGATTCCTGCATCTCTGGAAATCTTCCTCAGTTGTTCTGTAAAGGACCTAAAGGATGTAAATAAATACATTAAATTCTCAGGGAGCAAAATACATCTTGATTTTTGTTCCTATTTTTAGTGGAACAATCTTGTTAAACCTGCAGAGTTGCGCTGCCTAAATCCTGAGAATTTACCCCAAGTGCATCTTTAATTGATTGTGTCTATGTAGTCAGTGGAGGAAAGATAGGGGAAGATGAGGAAATGCACTGTATTAATAACACCATTACTAAAAACTTCATTTCCAAAGCAAATTCCACCTTATTTGATCTTTCTACAGGAGATACAGTATAAGCTACTTTTTGTAAAAACACTGCAATGATTGTATTTTGGATAGCCTGCTCTACCATACTTCCATAAGTTACTACCACTACAGAAATGGCTGGAGTTCCTTCTTTTTCTTGGTGAGGCAAACAGCCGACAGAAGTTACCAGCAATTGTGTCTCAGCGAATTGATCTAACATCAGTAATAATGCACAAGAAAACCTTGCTAGATATCAGAGAAAAGGTGTACCCTGCAGGTGAAGAAAAACCTTCTCCAAAGATGGTGCAACTGTAAGTCACCCTTTGGTGGAACTGGTCAGAAACGAAGACAACCTAATCTGTCAGAAGCTTTTATCAGCGAAGACTGCTTCAGGCCCCCTGCTAGCAGGGTATGCTGCGTTGCAGCCTGCATCCTTCTCCTGGCTCTTGTTGATGTGGTAGTTTGGCTCTTTCCTTTTGAAGGGACATAAAGAAGACACTGTGCCTGGTGTAAGCAAGACAATCAAAAGTACTTCAGCGTAGGAGTCTAGGACTCTATAAAGTACACCCAGTCTGGAAAGCATCTTCAAAGGCATGGCTTCTTCAGGTTAGATGGCTGCAGTCAATGGTGCATGTGTAGTCTCTAAGTTCCATCCCCATAAAACAAAGGCAAGATGAGCGAGTAGTGAGGTGTAGTAGTCACGGTGCAGACCTGTAGAGTGGAGTACCTGGTGCTGAGGGACCAACATCCACACTACATGTGTTTCTGGGATTTTTCGGCAGAGTGGCTGTAGTCTGGTGTGGTGGGCTGAATGTCCATTAGTGGCTGAAGCACATCCATCTAGTCCAGTTTTATCAAAAAAAAAATCCACATTGTACACTCGGACTGCTCCTTGATGCAGAAGATGGTATGGCAATTGGCGACCATCAGGAGCATCACTTCAAATACACACTCCTGATCCAAACTAACACGCTAGTGCAGTCACACCCAGAGATGTCCTTCTTTGGCACTTGGTTTAATGCCCAGCATAGTAAACGTGTGATCCCAGGGAGCAATGCTTAACTGACATAAACAGTGACAAAGCCCCTTTCATTGTCTTGGACTGGATGCCCCCATAGGTGTCTAAAAAGTTGTTCATCTTCACCAAAGGGTGCCAGATAACACAGTCTTACCCACTGAGAGGGTGTGAATATTTAGTTTCTTCCAAACCCATTGTTAACTTTCGTGAATCATAACAGTCTGTGAGCTTCAGCCCTGCAGCTTGTGGCTTCTTGCAGAAAATGGGCGCATTAAGCATTTTCCCTGGCAAAACAGGCACTCACCACTATAAGGAGCATCAGTGGCAGAACATGCAAGTCTAAAACAGCACAGGTTTTGAGCCCTTAGAAGCCCATCTGTAAGTATGGTGTCCAAGAGGAAAGGTTCTCTCCCTGTTCCTGAGAGGCAAAGCAGGATGATTTTGAAGACTTTTAGGGATTGTGAAGGTGTTTACTCTGACAGATCTAAGCAGCCAAGTTCCAACTCACTCAACAAGATGCAACAAGAGGCAACAAGATGCAACTGGAAGCAGCCATATTCCAAGTATGAAGGAATGTCCTTTCATGGTAAGGACAAACTCCATCTAAGCCATCAAATAATTTTATTTTGGCTCATTATGTTGAAGACTTCTGCCTGTCTCTCAAAACTGACTAACTTCTATGCAGCATTTCCACTAGAAGCAACAGTGTGGAAGTGAAAATTCTCTGGCAGCTAAGTTCCTGCCACGTACCTGGAGAGAACAAGTCCCTAGTCTTGCACAATGGGAAGAAAAGAAAAATGTAAGATTCCCACTGCTTGCTCACCACTTCTTAGGGAAAAATTCCCAAGCTCTTTGGCAAATCATCTAAAGGAACACTGTTATGGCAATACCGTTGTTATGAACAATCACTGTCTTGCATTCACCTTATAAAGAGGAGCTGAGTCACCTACTAGGGCAGCTAGAAGAGCTGCACTTGTCCATGCATGAAGAGAAAGCAATTGCGTGCAAAAGAAGACATTAGACAATCCATCTACACAAGCATGCACACTCTCCCTGATCCAAGAATGGTAGATGTCACTTAACAGTCTTTCAACAATCATGTTCTATCCAAAGATAGAGAAAACAGATTTGAATGTTTCATTCAAATGCTTAAAGTCAACAAAAGAAGTAGTCCTACTCATCTTGCAAATACAGCAACTTGCACCTTACAGTAACTCTAGATGGTAGAAAGTTTTAGGCAAAAGTTGGATTGCTTTTTAAAATTTTCCTTTTAAATAAGTTCTGCATGAATAAATTTCCATATAACCAGGATAAGAACCTAAGATGACATACATGTTAGCTTTCACTCTTCACAAATACCTAGTGATTGTGACGGATATACCCATCATTACATCATTTTGGTTATCTTAAACTCTGTCCTAAGGCCTCACTGGTCAGCAACCTGCTGTATAGTATAAATTGCTTTTGGTAAGTCCGATTTCAAGGATTTCATGATGCTAGCATTGAAATTATATTGGCATCACTCAAAACAGACACAGAACTTCAAAAGCACTGTTAAAGATATATTGCCATACGTTAAACAATTTAACACAATATATATTCTAAATAAGTGAAATGATGATATTTCCATACATAATAAATAATAAAATCACCATCTTATGAAACACACTTACTTAAGATGAACTTCAGTGCATTGGCGCTGGGGAGCAAAACATGCAATTGCCCAAACCTTTATTTCAATTCCAGTGTGAAACTGTTTATTCCTCATGTCCCAGACTCCTTGAACTGGCGTAGCAATTGCTTTATTCTGGAAGTGGAAGTACAAAAAGAAACCAAACCCCAAATCAAAACACTAATGCAAAAATTGATTCATGCTAACAAAAACCTGTTATGCTTCTGCTTCCCTCCAACTAGCAGGCTATTTATATTCGCAGGTCTTTCTCTCTACTGTTCAAATATCTATCCTACCTTATAGAGATCATTCTATCACTGTAGCAAGACAGCTTGCTAGCCCAGTAAAAATAAAGCTCATAAAAATAAAGCTTATATTGTTCATTTTTATTGTTGATGGTTTCCTTTGGTTATATAAATCAGCAGCAGATAGAAATTACATATGGATAGTAAGTCAGATTCACGCTTGGTATGTAATGTTAACAAGAACGTACATTTCTACAGTGACTTTACAACCGCTCAGTGAACTTTCCAAGAGTGACTTAATTTAAGTATGAACAATATTTTACACATATCTAAGTAGCAGCAAATAGTGGTTCGATGTCAGTCACACAACTCTAGAAAAAAAGTGAACCAGCTGACAAAAGCTGATCAGTTATTTAACTTTGACCTGCACACCACCTTTTTTCTCTCAGCAAGCAGATATTACCATGATGGATTATCTAGAGGACAACCTCCCCCTGCTCCCCTGGTGCCTGAACAGTTCATGAGAGCACTCTCCCTAATCAGGATCAGGCAAAGACAGCTGGGTTATCTTAACCTGTCAGTGAAGGAAGGTTTGAGCTAATCTGCCTGATTTTGTCTGAAGAGCTTTAGGTAGAAGACACAAGATCCTCTCCCATTGCGGGTTTATGGAGGTAACAGTCTGATTTGTGCTTAGGGATAGAACTATCTTCAGCTGGGAATGCATGATCTAGAAGAGGTTCATCAGAAGCCTCCACAAATTAAGTTATCCCAGCTATCAAAGCTTTCATCTTGCATAAAAACAATACACGTTAAAATAATTGATAGGAACTCCTGTTTCTCAAGCTTTTTTTGAAGGACACCACAGTAGGAAGATTATGTCAGAAAGGCCATCTGAAAAGCCACTGTAAAGAAAAAACCTGTGAGTAAATACTCCAACAGGAAGAGATGGCTCTAGAGAAAAACATGCTGATAGAGATAATACCTTAAGATAGTTGTCCTAAACACTGCCGCTCCACCCAGAACACTCAAAACCAACCAGAAGTTCAGGAAGAGTTAAGGGAGGAAAAATATAAACAGTAATTGAAGTTGTCTCTGTTATTCTCCATACACGTTGATTTGAACCACTATTTGCAGGTTTCTTCTTGCAACACACAATAAAACAGTGTGCAAAGGAAAAATACACACGTTTTTCTCTGAAGTTCACAAAAAAAGCATTTTTAACCTAGCTGTATTTTCAGAAATACAGAAGCAATTGAGAGAGATGTAAAATGGCCATTACCTTTAAGGACTTTCAAAACTCAAATGTAAATTCTAAACATTACAGTTATGATGACTTCATCCCATTACACCCAACATCATTCATTTAAAACAACCATATTACAGAAGTTATCACAGCTGGTAATGGAAGCTGTCACAGATTGTACGGTATCTGTTCAACATACCCTGCCTCCATAGAGGATTGAAGGAGGCTGTAGGACTCTACCGGTCACATCTGTCATTTCATCTTTGACCATTATTCCAAATTCACGAACGTAAGGGTCGGTATTAAAACTTGCACTCCGCATCTGAAATTAAAAGGAATGAGATATTTCTTGCAGAAAAAGAAGGGGGGTTTTTTGAGATCTAAAACTTTCCAAGATAATCATATTTGGGCACATACCCCTTATATATGGGTGATGCCATGCATCCAAAGCCTCTGTTAATTCCACTTGGACACAGATGCCTCAAAATTTGAAATGAAGCACCAAAAAAACCCACTTGAAAAACTTTTGTGAGAATGTATTTCTCTCTGATTAATGCTTATAATGAGCTTATAAAACCAAGCTCATAACCTGTGAGTAGCGCACAAACTATTCAGTATCTGCTAATGGTGAGAGAAAAATTCAGTCCATTACTACGCTACACTCATCTTTGACGGAACACTCACCAATTTGCTAATCTCTTCTTGACGGTCAGGTGCTGATCTGGCAGTTGCTCGAATCATAGTGGAAGTTTGATTGTCAGTAAGTTTCTTTATGCATCTTTGTCCTGCCACTATGTTGCACACCTAAAATATCCCCGCACAAAGGAAGTTAAAAAACACCATGCAACTGGTTTTTGTTTTGTTTTGCTTTTTTTCTTGCCACACTACACAATTTCTAAAGTTGGCTACTCAAAAAAGAGTTTGTCAACTTTTGAGCCTTTTTTCTTCTGACTCTCTTCCCCCATTCCCAGAATACAGTATTATCTAAAATTTTACTTGCCTCAAGAGGAAGGTATGTGTGTTTCTGCTCCTGTCCAACTTGTAAACATGGAAGGTGAGGATAGCGTAAAACTAATTTGTGCCTGTCCTTAAAATACTGAGCTACAGTGCATTCAACTGTTTGTCCATTCTCCTGCTGAAGTGGGAATCTATTGGAAATCAAATACAGAAATAAGCCATTACTTTATGTAAAATACTTTCCCACACTTGCTCAACACACATCTTGGCACAAGTTAAGCTTACCAGAGATTAAACCTATCCTGCTGAAATGATGCAAGTGTACTTCTGTAATTAAGATTCCATCATTGCCACTACTATGTGTCTTCTAATAGTGCCACAGGAGGCTATGTCTCTAACGTTCCTGATACCTGAAGCTATAAATTAAGTTTCCTAAGAGCAGGTACCTTAGAGACAAAGACTAATGTTTTCTGCTTCTCTGGGATACTTGCAGTACTACACTTTATAATATGCCACGCACAGAAAATAGCAAGCCTACTCGTGAGTCGCAAAGCCAATTACTACTTCAGAAATGCATTTCTCTTTCTGTACATTACAAATATATTTCTGTATATGCACACACATTTGCATATACTTACATCATGATGGCACAAATATTGTCTTTTCATTAATATCATACATCACTGAAAGAGCATGAAAAAAAGCCCAAACAATTAAATACCAGATTTAGATGCTGATCAGCTAACTTCTTGTAAAGAGCTGGTATCAGTTTTGTTCCTTTACTACTTTCTTAAAAATGGGAATAAAAACCTCAATATTCAAGTTATCCGCATATCTCCAGTTAGAGATTAAAACCAAACGTTTTTTCCAGAGGAAAAAATAGATTGGCAGTAAGCAAGATCAGAAAGCTGATCCCAACTGGCACTAATTTTCTACTCAACAGTTCTGGGAATTATGTTACCAATAGGGCACCCTGTTCTTCCAATGTTGAATAAATCCATAAACGAAAAAACAAAACAAAAACAGACCAAAAAACCACCCACCACAGATTTAAAACAAAGCAATTAGTTCAAATGCCAATTCATTGTAGAACAAAAAGAATACCAAAATCAGGAAAATACTCTGAGGTGTATTTCAAATATATTGACCAAAGAAAGTATCATTTTTCAAGACAACTTCTCCTATGTCAGTAAGGCAGGCAACGTACTTTTCCAGCCTGAGATTAAACATATGCTTAAAAAGAAGCAAAATACTTTACGTTTGGTGACTTGCTGGTCGTCTGGTGACATTGCACACTCTGTACTTTCTTTTCATTTGTCCACAGTGTGTTATCTCCACCTTTAGACCTAAAAATTGCAAAACAGGTATCACTCTTCAAAATCAAGGTGTCAGCCCCCTTAATTGCTATACAAGACCACTTAAACTGTGCAGTAAAGCTGTTCACTATTTAGCATGTTCCCAGAGCACCAAAGGGTATCCCAGAGAGAACTAAAAAAAAAAAAAAAAAAAAATTTATAATCTTAAAATTCAAAAGCCCTGAGCTTCAGCCGAAGTTCCACAAAGAATTCTGGAAGCAAGACAAAACCCCAAAGCCTCAAGAGTTGACAGATGAAGCTGAACACATTCTGTGAATTCCAATTCTGCACCTCTAAGGAAGTCCAGGACAGTGGAAGGACAAAAAGGGCACACAACCTCCTTGAAATAAAAAGCTTGTTTATACTTTATGTCTAAACATACAGTGTCTGTGAGACCTCCAACTATGGCAACCAACCCTGAACTAACGAATTAGGGGGAAAAAAAGTACCCATAGAGCCTCTAAAAGCCCATGGGAATGAGGCCACGGGGCTTTATTCTTCGTGAAGACAAACATCTGTTGCAAACCCCACTGGCACAAAAACCAAGCCCACCTGAAAGCCAACAACTTCTCGAAGAATAAATTCTCCACCCCAAACCAGCAAAACACAGCTACCCATAAAAAATTGTTTCTAATTTACCACTGCCCACAAATATAAGCTTGAATGCAGTGTTTTCATTTATATTACTTTCATGCTTAGGCAGAAACAGATGTAGGTGAGCTATTACAGATAGGAAGTTGAATGTGTGGGAATAGGAAAGAGGGGGCTGTAGACAGAAATTCCTTACATATCTGCAGGTGCGTATAAACTCAGGCGGCTGCTGAGTAACTGCATATTTCCTTGATCTGTCAAAGGCACCAGTAACTTGCCAAACACCACACTAATCTTTCCACATAATTTGTTAATGCTCGAAGTGCCATCTATTATGAAACCTTCAATACATTTATTGAAAATAAATATTTATTGAAAACTTGATATTTCAAGTTTTCACGATTACCTCCAAAATCTGTATCACAGTATTTTCATTAAGTTAAACTGTTACCTCAATTTACAACTAGCTTTGCTGCAAATTTGAGATGACGTCTATCCAAAGAATGAAAATCCTCATGTCAAAAATGACAAAAGCAGCTGGCAATCCAGTGCCTGATTACTTTTGCAAAACATTTACAACCAGTACAAACTCAGGATTTATTTATACTTTTCTTGCTAACTTCTAGTTGGGCAAAGATGATTTTGTGGACATTTTGTGGAAACAAGGAAGCTGCATGATAGATTTATGGAGTTTGACTTTCTTCTTTAACTTCCTTCCTTTCTGTCAAGCATATCATGAAGGAAGGACCTAGATTTTCCAGAAGAAACCTTAGCCAACACAAATAGTAAGATTCCTTCCTCCTACTCTTTGATTCAGTCATTACATACTAGAATAACTGTAATTTACTTCCAGGAAAGTGTGTGTATGAAATATACCTAAGTATGCAAAAACACATTGCTAAATTATTAGTAAAATCTGGAATATGAAAATCTTGACATGAGTAATTGGAAAAATTTAAGATCAGGTAATTTAAAAAAACCCAAGAAATTCCAGTCTTTGTAAATGTTTTTAAATCACTAGATTAGGAACTGAAGTATCTTTGTCATGGAACTGGGACTTGCACTACCAATATGCTTCAGAAGTGAAAAATATGAAATTTTTGTATTTCCTCTAGAGATGGGGGTACTAAGAAGCACTACAGTAAATATAACTTCTAAATACAATAAAGCAATATTCATTTGGGAAGACAAATTGTTTTTAAGGAGACTGACATAGTAAGGGATGCTGTTCTATACACTGAAAAGATCTCAGCAGTACCTCTGCACCGAGACGCTCTCAGATGCCAACACGCACCAGCAGCTTTGACATGACACTTGATCAAGTGACTGGATGGTGGTGAGGCACAACCCCC